GTCATCAAACAGGCAGCTCAACAACAGGCAGGTCAATAACACAACAAACAAACAAACAACACCAAATAGGCAGGCTGGGTCAGTTATATCAGTGTCAACAGGCCAGGCCACCGTCAGGCAGGTCACAGGGCAGGTCATCAACAGGCAGGCCAACAGGCAGGTTGGCCACAGGTAGGTCAGTCATAGGCAGGTTACACAGGTTGTCAGGTAGTTGTCAAGAAAGGCACACAATAGGGCACAATAGGGAGAAAGGCTGCTAGTTAGGCTATGTTACAGGTTGAAGCTGGGCTACTAGGGGTAGTTGGGGCTAGGTAGGTCAGTTGTCAGGCACACAGGGTAGGCTGGGTTGCTAGGCACAATAAGCTAGGTGGCTAATACAGTGGTGTCACAGGGCAGGCTGGGCTAGGCAGGCTGGGTTGGGTCAGGCAGGTCAGTTAGGGCAGGCTGGGGTCAGGCCAGGCAGGTCAGGTAGGCCAGCCTGCCAGGCAGGCTGTCAAATAGGTAGCTGGGCCAGGCAGGCTGGGCTAAGCCAGGCAGGCCAGCCAAGAAAGCAGGCTGGGCCAGGCAGGCCGGGCTGGGGCCAGGCACAGGCCAGGCTGCGCTGGGCCAGGCCAGGGCTATGCTGCCAGGTTAGGCCATGCTGGGCCAGGTTACAGTTGTTGCCAGGTTGTTATGCCACACACACACATATGTCATTGATCCACAGTCATGATTTTGTTTTCTATTTCTCTTAATTTCATACCCTTCTACCACTTTTTCATTAATTTTTTTCATGTTAATGAAACAAAACAAACAATACACCATTGAACTGCAAGACTACAATAGTTATCCCAAAAACTATAAAACTTTCTTCATAACTGGAATTTCATCTTCTTCATTAATATATAAGGTTGGACTGAGATGGTATCAGATATTGTTCTCCAGAAGTTCCACTAACAGATAATGTTCATGCCCAGCGGTCCTGCCTCCTGCATCCACTCTCACGCCTCACACCAACGTTCCCAAACAGAATGGCTTCAGTTCAGGTGTTAACTATGAAATTTGAAACTTAAAATTCATCAAAACCACCTCAGTATATTTATAAAACTATTGTACCCACTGTCAACAAATTTCACAAGCAGAATCAGTCGTAACGCTGTACAATAATGACCTACTCTGATCTTGAGAGAAGGTGAGGTAGTCGTCCACACAGTTACCCTGAGTCGTAGGTGTTAGTACTACCTCCACTACGTCCAGCCTGTGGAGGAGGAGAGGGCGGGGGAGGGGAGTTGTTATTAGGGGGAGAAGGTGAGGGTTGTTATTACACAGGTAATGTTCAGGATACTGGCAATTAACTCACCCAACTTGGCAGGCACGGAGGCAGGTGAGTGATATAGGGCAGGTGGTATATGCTGAAGGACTGCAGTTGGGACTCTCCAGGCATGTCCAAGTTGTTCTCAGTGCTTGCTCTCCACAAACTGAAGCTTTGGCTGAGGGGTGAGGGGGGACAGGGAGGGGGGGGAGAGGTGAGGGGCAAGGAGGGTATTGGGGAGGTTAGGTTAGATTAGGCTAGGTTAGGTTAGGCTGCTTAGTTAGTTACGTTAGGTTGTTACCACTGTTTTCACTTCATGGTACCCTGGCTTCCTTTCAACACCACTGTTACCCTCTGAGACCCACCACCCACTCACAGTCCTTCTGACTCACCTACACCACCCCACCACTGAGCATCTACCCACACCCACCTCTGGTCCTGAGACTCACCTGGTTCTTCCCACACTCATTGAGCATCCACTCACCATTCTGCCACCACTGGAGACCCACCTCACATTCACTGAGACCACTGTCACTTTCACACCACCAGCACTCCACCCACACCACTCATGTTCACTGAGATCTGACCTGTTCACCTCATCTCAACCGAGACCACCTGTCTGTTCACACCTGGCTGTTCATTCTGATCACAAGCAACACTAAAATCGAAAACCACAGCGATCGTTCTGGAACCACACACCTCAGCTGAACCACCTGGGTTCATATTTGATGGTTTCAAAATCTAATTAGGTAATACTAACTCATTTTAAGCTAGTAGACAAAATAGCACAAATAGAGTTGAAATTCTTAAGGCCTCGCTATAGTAACATGTTAGAGTACCGTGTTGCCTCAGAGTCACCCAGGGACAAAATTAACACAAAATGATATATACAGATAGCTTGGTGGGTGGCGACCACTTCCTGCCTGCCTGCCTGCCGGCTTGCCTGATCACCTGCCCACCCAAGATATGACTCTCTTGACTTTGTCGCCCTCCCCAACATACACACACACAGTGAAACAATTGTTCTCTCTCATTATCTTGTGAGTTTTAAGGCATACTTTCTCCTGAACTGCAAAAAGAGGACCAATTATAGTTCTTGGAGTGTTTATGTCACCCTCCCAGACTTCCACCTCCTGCACACAAGACAATAAAACCACCTGTAATTACCTCTATGCTACTACCTAAGATTAAACCACCTAGTTGAGGACATTGAAGTGGATTATTTACCCCAGATGACGTGTGTGTGTGTGTGTGTGTGTGTGTGTGTAGCGGTAGTAATAAGAAGTATTATAGTTCAGGCCGCTACGCATACATACACAGTCACTCTTATAAGGGCCGTCATTGCGAGCTAATCTTCCAGCTCGTGTGTTTGAGTCCGTCTGTCTTGGTGCTTAATCCTTCGTCTACATAACAGGAGCAACATCGTCATCCACCCTTCAGAGCTATTGTACTGTTGTGCTTAACTCAACCATCTTAACCCAACCCATCTTAACTCAACCCATCTTAACCCAACCCATCTTAACCCAACACCATCTTAACTAAATCATCTTAACCTAACCCATCTTTAACCAATTCCAGCTTAACCTAACCCATCTTAACCTAAACAATCTTAACCTCAACCCATCTTAACCTAACCCATCTTAACCTAATCTATCCTGGTCATTCCTCACAGCAAGATTGAGGATTGGGAACGAAGAGAAAAGCGAAGAATCCAATCATCCCACAATACCCGAAGGCCAATTCGTAAAGCTGAAATTGAGGATACTGGATGAACATTGACCGATACTGATGGATGACGAGATGGGTGTGGGTGTGGATGTGGGTGTCGTCCATTCATCACAAGCCCAGCAGGTCTCTCTAATAACGCCAGAACTGATCGCTTTGAGTTTTCGATTTTAATTGTTTTCCAAATTTTTTTAACTTGTAATGAGTGTCAGGGTGTAAGGGTGTAGTGGGTCTCAGTGGGTGTAAGTGGGTGTAGGTGGGTCTCAGTTGGGTGTGGCGGGTGTAGGTGGGTCTCAGGGGTATAAGTGGGTGTAGGTGGGTCTCAGGTGTAAGTGGCTGTAGGTGGGTCTCAGTGGGTGTAAGTAGGTGTAGGTGGTCTCAGGGTGAGTGGGTAGGTGGGTCTCAATGGTGGGTGGGTGTAGGTGGGTCTCAGAGGATGTAAGTGGGTGGTAGGTCTCAGAGTGTAAGGGGTGTAGGTGGGTCCAGAGGATGTGTAGGGTCCTAGAGGTGCAAGGGCAGAAAATGAAATTCTGACAAACAATGTAAGTTCAGGTAACAGGTAACAGTGAATTAAGTGTGTGTTGTGTGTGTGTGTGTGGCAGGTCAAGTGTTCATCAGCGTGCTCACTCTTGTTCTCTGACAGTGTCCATGTTCTTGTTGAGGTTCAAGAACAACGAGTGCCAGGCTGTCTCAGGTGACACTGGCATCTGTTATCACCTGCCTCCTGTAGCAAGTGGGGGCGAGCCTTCAGGAGAGAGTGTGCCCAGGGTTTTGGTCCATGCTGTGTTAGTGAGTACTACGTGTCTCTCTTGAGTTTCACCTCCCCCGTTAAAAATATACTGAAATATTAGCATTTTGGGTATATTCTTTGTTTAAGTAGGCTTAACCCTAACCTAACCTAACCTAACCTAACCTAACGTAAACCCCAACCTAACCTAACCTAACCTAACCTAACCAATCTAACCCAACCTCCCAATACCCTCCACCCCTCACCTCCCCCCCGCCTCACCCCCCCACCAGCTGCTTGGTTAGGAGGCAGCACTGAGAACAACGGGACATACCTGAGAGTCCCAACCACCCGTCAGACTTCAACGCCGCCACCACCTGCCCCTATATCTCCACCTCACCTCCGATACCTGCTAGTGAGTTAATTAACGAGTATCACCTGAACATTACCTGTATATTAACCCCCTCACCTTCCCCTCACAACAACTCTCACCCTCCGTCTCTCCTCCACATGGACGTAGGAGGTAGTATTGGCACTACCTCACGACTCAGGGTAACTGACGACTACCTCACCTTCTCTCAAGATATCAAGTGGGTCGTGGCGTTACGATCGATTCTAACTGTGAGTTGTTATTGATAGATTTTGATAGTTTTATAAATATACTGGTGGTTTTTGATAGATTTTTATGGTTTTAATAGATTTTTTTTGGTTTTTAAAAGATTTTTGTGGTTTTAATAGATTTGATTTTAATAGATTTTTATGGTTTTAATAGATTTTTTACAGTTTTTGATAGAATTTTTGTTTATAATATATTTTGATAGATAATATTTTTAATTTCATGGTTTTCGATAGATTTTCATGATTTGTAATTAACTTTCAACGGTATTTGGTCAATTTTTAATTTTATAATAGTAATAATAATAATAATAATAATAATAATAATAATAATAATAATAATAATAATAATAATAATTACTAATACATCAATTTATTATCCCGTAGCACTTAGATGTAGATCCCGGGGTGAGTACTCTCACTCTCACCTTCACCACCAGTACTGTCTCCTCCGCCAGGTGGAAGGTAGTCTCTATGATCACCAGACCAGCTCTCTAGTAGTCTCTCTCATGTACTACCTCAAACTTACTTTTCTTGTCTTGCTGTACACTAATTAAGATACAGTAACATGGTATGCCTAACTACTGCTGTAATTTGCTGTAATACTCCCCCTCCCCACTGTATCATACTCTTCCTCTCTTTCTTACAGCACCTTCAGGATGTGGCCAGTACTTCACCACAACTATGGGCACTATCAAGGGCTGGAACCACGACGGTATCTATCTGTCTAACCAGAACTACGCTATTTGTATCAGGAAAGACGTCGACAGCTGTTCCGTGATAGGTTTTTGCTGCGCGTCTAAAAAAGTGGCGATTTGATTAAATTTATTCTTTACAACTATTACCATTACTATTACTACTACTACTACTTACTACTACTACTATTTACTACTACTTCTACTACTACTACTACTTCTACTACTACTACTACTACCCACAGACGACGTACCTGGACAACAGAGATGTAATATTTCGGCCATTCTGTGACGACACCTTTGAGTGGCCCTACAATGTGAACGGTTTACCTGCCACGTCCTTCACCTGCATCAGTACACCTGCCTTCATACCCTCCGTGAGTCTACCTGTATGATGATGATGGTAACACTACAATCACTACTGTTGTTGCTACTATTACTACTACTTTTACAATTACTGTTACTGCTACTACCACAAATAATAATAATAATAATAATAATAATAATAATAATAGAGAGAGAGAGAGAGAGAGAGAGAGAGAGAGAGAGAGAGAGAGAGAGAGAGAATGAAAGAAAGAGATAAAATAGACATTGAGAGAAAGACTGAAATAGATAAAATGAGGAGAAAGAGATAAGAGAGGCAATGAAATAGAGAGAGATAGAAAGTAAGATACAGAGAGAGAGAGAGAGAGAGAGAGAGAGAGAGAGAGAGAGACTTAGGACCACCACTCACCATTCCTTTCTCTATGGTCACCAGGCGCCCCTCACTGTGTCACTTCAAGGCCCCAACTACCTCTTCAGGACGACCGATTTACCAATGACCACACCGACTCCACCAATATCACCAGGCTTCACCCAGAACCCATGTTGAAGGCCTAACTTGAAAACGTTACTTGGAGTGGGACTTGTGGACGGTATCTGTTGGAGTGGGACTTGTGGAGGTATCTGTTGAGTGGGACTTGACCGCCGCTCCTAGTTAAGTTAGCCTTCATATATTGTGAAAGAAAATGAAAGTTCAATTATGAAAGAAAAGTTTCAATTTTTAGATAACTATTATAGTCTTACCAGTTTATTAATTCTGTGATGTTTTATGTATTAGTCTATTTATTTGTGTTTTCATTATTAACTATTTATGAAGAATTTGTTTATATAATAGCCCATCTTCTATCAAATTACGCCTTTGAATGACAAAATTTAAGACGCTAACCTAAAACATAATTATTTCCAGAAGAGAATAAGTAACAGTAATTAACAGAGTCTTAGTGAAATAATTACGTACAATTACTGACAAAAAAAAATAAATTTTAAAAGGAAAATCAAAATAAAATCAATATTTGCAGAAATTTTACTTACATCTTTAATTGAATACTATAATACGTATATGTCATGAAGATCCACAATGAGTGTGTGTGTGAAAAATCAACCAACACATTAACAAATAAAAAGGAAGTAAAAGAAAAGATATTTAAAAACTTGATGAAGACAAGTGGAAGTGAAGAGATAAGAGATAATTGAGAAATAAAGAGAGAGAAAGTCTAGGAAGCAAAAATCATAACTGTGATGTGACTATGTATATGTAATAACTGTATATGTGCCAACTGTATGTGGCCAACTGTATATATGCGGCCAACTGTATATGGGCAGCTGTATATGTGGCTAACTGTATTTGTACAACTGTATATATGTAATAACTGTATATGTGGCCAACTGTATATATGGGCAGCTGTATATGTGGGATAACTGTAATATGCCAACTGTATGTGGCCAATTATATATAATAACTGTATATGTAATAACTGTATATATGCATAACTGTATATATGGCCAAATTGTTTTATATCATCAACTTATTAATATTATTATTATTATTATTATTATATCATAAACTTTATTTCTACTACCACTACTACCACCATCTTCACTACCACTACTACCACTATCACCACTACCACCAGCATTACCAGTGTTCTCAGTCACTAAGGTTCACCTACCAGAACTGTAATTCAATCTCAACCCAACTTAATCTAACCTAACCTAACCCAACTTCAGAATCAGTGCTCTCTCCCTCTTCTCTCTCTCTCTCTCTTCATTACGACGCACATTAACCCTTATATATAACTTATCTTTTCAGGACACACATAAAAACAAAACGCTGATAAGATGAAAAGTGTTGGTGGCGTCCGGCGTTAGTCTTTTGTTTGGTGTAGATACTTCGTGGCTTCCTGTTACACTGAGAGAGAGAGTGAAAGAGAGAGAGATTTAGAGAGAAAAGACAAGTAGATTATAAAACAGGCAGACAATAAATAGAAGACAGATAAAATTTTAATCATAAAGATTTCTTATTTCCACTTGAGGCTGTAATCAACCTAACCCAACATAACCTAACCTAACCCAACATAACCCAACCTAACCCAACATAACATAACCCAACCCAACATAACCTAACCCAACCCAACATAACCCAACCTAACCCAACATAACCCAACCTAACCTACCCTAACCCAACCCAACCTACCTAACCCAACCTACCCTAACCAACCCAATCCACCCAACCCAACCCAACCTAACCCAACCCAACCTACCCTAACCCAACCCAACCCACCCTAACCCAACCCAACCCACCCTAACCCAACCTACCCTAACCCAACCCAACCTACCCTAACCCAACCTACCCTAACCCAACCCAACCTACCCTAACCCAACCCACCCTAACCCAACCTACCCTAACCCAACCCAACCCATCTAACCCAACCCAACCTACCCTAACCCAACCCAACCTACTCCTAACCCAACCTACCCTAACCCAACCCAACCTACCAACCTAACTCACCCCCAACCCAACCCAACTCAACCCAACCCAACCTAACCTAACCCAACCCCAACCCAACCCAATTTAACCCAACCCACTCCTAACCTAACCCAACCCTAACAATCCCAACCCAACCCAACCTACCCCAACCCAACTCCTAACCCAAAACCAACCCAATCAACCCAACCCAACCTAACCCTAACCCAACCCAACCTACCCTAACCCAACCCACCCTAACCCAACCCAACCTACCCTAACCCAACCTACCCTAACCCAACCCAACCTACCCTAACCCAACATAACCCAACCCAACCCAACCCAACCTACCCTAACCCAACCCAACCACACCTTAACCCAACCCACCCCAACCCAACCTAACCCAACTCAACCCAACCACCCAACCCAACCCAACCACCCCAACCCAACCCAACCAACCAACCTAACCTAATCTAACCCAACCCAAACCCCAACCCAAACCACCCAACCCAACCTAACCTCCTAACCCAACCTAAACACCCAACCCAACCCAACCTAACCCCAACTCCAACCCAACTACCCAACCCAACCCAACTAACCCACCAACTAACCCCCCAACCCAAACCCAACCCACCCTAACCCAAACCCAACCCACCCCAACCCAACCCACCCTAACCCAACCCAACTCACCCTAACCCAACCCAACCTACCCCAATCCCAACCCACCTAACCCAACCCAACCATCCCATCCAACCCAACCCAAATCTAACCCAACCCAACCTACCCCAACCCTCCTAAACCACCAACCAACCCAATCCCACCTAACCCAAATCCCAACCCACCAAACCCAACCCAACCCACTCCCAACCTAACCCACTCCCTAACCCAACCTACCCTAACCCAACCCACCCTAACCCAACCCAACCTACCCTAACCCAACCCAACCTACCTAACCCAACCCAACCTACCCTAACCCAACCCCAACCTAACACCCCAACCCAACTCCAACCCACCCTAACCCAACCCAACCCACCCTAACCCAACCCAACCTACTCCCAACCCAACTCACCCCAACCAACCCAACCTACCCTAACCCAACCCAACCCAACTCCCAACCCAACTCCAATCCCAACCCAACCCAACCTACCCAACCCAACCCAACCCACCCAACCCAACCCTAACCCAACCCAAACCTCAAACCTAACTCCCAACCTAACCCAACCCAACCCACCCTAACCCAACCCAACCTACCCTAACCCAACCTAATCCTAACCCAACCCAACCTACCCTAACCCAACCCAACCTACCCTAACCCAACCCACCCCTAACCCAACCCAACCTACCCTAACCCAACCCAACCCACCCTAAACCCAACCTAACCTCCCAACCCAACCCAACCTACCCTAACCCAACCTACCCTAACCCAACCCAACCTACCCTAACCTAACCCAATTCCTAACCCAACCCAACCTAATTCTAACCCAACCTAACCTACCCTAACCCAACCTACCCTAACCCAACCCAACCTACCCTAACCCAACCCAACCCACCCTAACCCAACCCAACCCATCCCAACCCAACCTACCCTAACCCAACCCAACCTAACCTAACCTAACCCACCCTAACCCAACCCAACTCACCCTAACCCAACCCAACCCACCCTAACCCAACCTACCCTAACCCAACCCAACCCACTCCCAACCCAACCCAACCCCAATCTAACCCAACCCAACCCAACCTAACCCAACCCACTCCCAACCTAACCCAACCCACCCTAACCCAACCTACCCCAACCCAACCCAACCCACCCCAACCCAACCTACCCTAAACCCAACCCATCCTAACCCAACCCAACTCAATCTAACCCAACCTACCCTAACCCAACCTAACCTACCCTAACCCAACCCAACCTAACCCAACCCAACCTACCCTAACCCAACCTAACCTACTCCTAACCCAACCCAACCTACCCTAACCCAACCTACCCAACCCAACCCAACCTACTCCCAACCCAACCTACCCTAACCCAACCCAACCTACCCTAACCCAACCTAACCTCATCTCAACCCAACCCAACCTACCCTAACCCAACCCACCCTAACCCAACTCCAACCTACCCCTAACCCAACCCCAACCTACCCTAACCTAACCCAACCTAACCTCAATCCCAACTCCACCCTAACCCAACCCAACCCAACCTAACCCAACCTACCCTAACCCAACCCAACCTACTCCTAACCCAACCCAACCTACCCTAACCCAACCTAACCTTAACCCAACCCAACCCACCCCTAATCCAACCCAACCTAACCCAACCCAACCTACCCTAACCCAACCTCAACCTACCCTAACCCAACCCAACCTACCCCAACCCAACCCAACCTACCCTAACCCAACCTACCCTAACCCAACCCAACCTACCCTAACCCAACCCAACCTACCCTAACCCAACCTATCCCTAACCCAACCCAACCTACCCTAACCCAACCCAACCTAACTCAACTCAACCTAACCTAACCCAACCCAACCTACCCTAACCCAACCCAACTCACCCTAACCTAACCTAACCTAACCCAACCTAACCTACCCTAACCCAACCCAACCTACCCAACCCAACCCAACCTAATTCAACTCTAACCCAACCCACCTAACCCAACCCAACCTACTCCTAACCCAACTCTACCCTAACCCAACCCAACTCTACCCTAACCCAACCCAACCTACTCCTAACCCAACCCAACTACCCTAACCCAACCCAACCTAACCCTAACCTAACCCAACCTACCCTAACCTAACCCAACCTAACCCAACCGAACCTAACGAGAAAGA